TTTTTTTTTTTTTTTAGTTAGAGTCTCTGTCGCCCAGGCTGGAATGCAGTAGCACGATCACAGCTCATCGCAGGCTTGGCCTCTTAAGTAGCCAGAGCTACAGGCGTGTGCCACCACACCTGGCTAATTTTTGATTTGCTGTAGAGACGAGATCTCACCAAGCTGCCCAGGCAGGTCTTGAATCCCTGGGCTCAGGCAGTCCTCTCGCCCTGCCTCTCAAAATGCTAGGGTTATCAGGCGTGAATCACCATGTCCGGCGATTGCTGCTTTTTAAACAACCCCCCCCCCCAGATTCCAGTGCAGCCGACGTCCGTGGGGCTGCTAACAGGCTCGCTCTCTGCTGAGGTTTACAGGGGTAACAGCTGAGGCTGAGGCAGGTGTGAGTAAGTGCAGGGCTCTGCAGCTAGGATCACCTGTGTTTCCATCCTCACATTCCCGCTTCCCAACTGTGTGCTCTATGATAGATTACTTAGCCTTCTTGTGCCTCACCTTCCCTACCTGGAAAATGGGCTTAATAGTACCGACCTTGAGGGCACAAATGAGTTAATGCCTGCAAAGATCTTAGGACCATGCGTGGCTTATAGCACGCCTACAGTATATACTACTAGCTAATATTTATTCAGCACTTTGCTTGTATAAATTCTGGGAACTGCCACTGGTCAGAACATGGGCATCTGGACACACACACCTCACTGCCTGGGCATCTCGGTGATGCTGCCTTTTGAACGCCTGGCTTCAGGTGATCCTCGACCTCGACCTCCCAAAGTACTGTGATTACAAGCATGAGCCATCATGCCCCAATGCTGCCATTTTTTCTGTGACTAACAAGAAGGGGTTGGGGAGAAAACGAGTCATGGTGATCAACCAGTCCAGGAGGTGACACTGGGAGACACAAGCATCCCTGGCATCTTCACTGCCGGAGAGGGTGATGATAATCCCGCTTGAAGTTTATAGATCACTTATTGTGTACAAAAAGCTTTCAGCTCATTTTGACTGGCATCTCACTCTATCCTGACATTCCTGTGAGGTTGGTGGCAGTGTCCCTGATTGATGGACCTATTTGTTGTTTAATCTGCTGGTGACTCATAGGAGCTCTCACAGGGGCCATTGGGAAGATTCTGACATGTTCAAGGGCTGAGCACATTGAAAATGCTTCATATCTGGGAGTTGTTACTAAGACCTAAGCCAGGCCTTGTTATTTATTTATTTGTTTATATATATATACATACATATATATGTGTATATATATATATTTTTTTTTTTTTTTTTTTTTTTTTTTTTTGAGTTGGAGTCTCAGTCTGTTGCCCAGTTGGGAGTACAGTGGCATGATCATGGCTTACTACAGCCTCGACCTCCTAGGCTTAGGCGATCCTCCCTCCTCAGCCTCCCAAGCAGCTGGGTCCACAGGCATGCGCCACCACACCTGGCTAATTTTATTTTTTTGTAGAGACGGGGGTCCCACTATGTTGCCCAGGTTGACCTCGAACTCCTGGGCGCAATCAATCCTCCTGCCTCAGCCTCCCAAAGTATTGCGATTTGGGAGCCATCGTGCCCAGCCAGCCACTGCCTTTCTGTTTTTCATGATGTGCTGAGAATGTATTTGATCAAGTTATACTGACTGCTGCAGCAAGCCCAGAAAGTGCAAATGACCCCACACTGGTAGGCGTTTCTTTCCCGTTCGCGTGTTAGGTGCAAATCCGGCGACTCTCTTCCGAGCCGCGACGGAAGCCCGAGCCTTCGCCGCCCGGCTGCTCTCCTTGAAGGGGAAGGAGTCTGGGGTTGGGGGGAGGCTTTGTGGGCGGAGCCCGGGCGTGGCGCCCCCACGAAACACCCGGCGCTGAGACTTCCTGCCAGCGGGGAGGCTGGGTGACGCGGTGGTCAGGGTGCTGAGCGCCGCGCCGGGCCACTCGGGCCGCGTGGTCAGAGGCAGCGTGTGGTCTCCTGTGTGACAGGTACGCCCCCGTGGGCATCTTGTTCCTGGTGGCCGGCAAGATCGTGGAGACGGAGGACGTGGGGATGCTCTTCGCCAGCCTTGGCAAGTACATTCTGTGTTGCCTGCTGGGCCACGCCATCCACGGGCTCCTGGTGCTGCCTCTCATTTACTTCCTGTTCACCCGCAAAAACCCCTACCGCTTCCTGTGGGGCATCGTGACGCCGCTGGCCACCGCCTTTGGGACCTCCTCCAGGTGCGGCCTTGGGGCCGGCAGGGCAGGGATGTTAAGCTAAGGGGCACGGGGTGGGCCTCGGGTGTCCGAAGACCGCTGTCGTTTTGTGTTCGCGGGCACAGGAGCTGGGCACAGGGGCCCTAGCTTCTTCAAAAGGTTCTGGGTCCTCCTCCTGCCTTCCTTCGGGAACTAGGACACTATCGCCTTGGAGATTTCTTCCTCCTTTCCTCACAATCCTCCTGTCTCCTCTCCCTGCCAAGGCCCGACCCTGGGGCACTCCTCTGATCCAGCCTCAGAGCCCCTTGCACCTTCTCTCCTGTCTGTCTAGAACCTGACCAAGAGACAGCAACACTTCGTCTACTATTGGTTGAGATGGCCAAGGGATGGGGTCAGCGAGCGCTCAGACACTTGAGTTTGGGTGTGAGTTTTTGAGGGCATTTGAGGGGTAGCGGGCAGTATTCTCCCAGGGGTTCCAGGACGCACACTTTTTGGAATCCCGGCATTTTTGTGAGACCCCCCTCCCAGGGCTGGAAGGGAAGGGCGTGGAGAGCTGACCAGGGTGCTGCCTAGGCTTGGTGGGAGGAAAGGGGTGTAGGCTGGAGGACCGAGCTTGGATCGGAGAGAGCTTGAGGAGGTGGGCGGGGCCTGGGGTCGGCGGGTGGGGCCTTGGCTGGGCG